TACAGTCCAAAGCCAATGTCGAATGAACCGTGAGCCCACGCAACCACTATGACGTCACTTGACAACAGAACTGATAGTGGCCCGTCGTTAAGGTTGAGCGGTCCAATATCATTTGCAGCAGCCCGCAAATTTTTGATAATAGGTTGGCCGTTTCATGATAATTCCATGTATTTTAGCTATAAGTAATGTTTAAGCAATCAATTCCAAACTTCATTAATTATTAAACGGTATTAAAAGCAATATCTTCAGTAGAAAAATGTATTTCAAAGAGAAACAATGAAATTGAAAATTTCAATCATAAATGGAATTCACTCATCCCAATATTCAGCAACTAATTATAATTACATCTTTACAGCAATCTATCTTCACCTTTTCTGTGTTTTTTGTTACTGTATACCTTTGATGCTGACTTTGTAGCCATGGGAACCAATAATAATAATAATAAAGAATGTGATAGATTGTTTTTTACAGGAGGTGGCCTGTTTAGACAAACATATTTCAGAATCCTCTTGTCACAACATATTGCGTACACAAGATACTCAAAAGAACTAAATGCACACTTGCAAGGCTTCAGATTATACACACGATTCTGCACAACAATTTTCATGAGTATGAAGAAAATATTTAAATCATGAGAGCATGAGATCGGCTCTAAATCATGGTGGCGTCTAGTCAAACGGTATATAAATCAATACATTCCTTATAATCAGTTTCCTACAGTCATCTATAAAGTCAATATATTCGACAACGACCAAGGAACTGCTACAGCTTTAAACAACTTCTTCTCTGAACCAGTAGTACGAAATATTTGTCCAGATAGACGATGGGCGAGCCGGTGTTGATTGACAGCTGAATATGTCGAGGGCGTAGCCCGAAACCACAATATATACCGTTTATGGATGGCAGTATCCATTAATGTTCAAACTATAGACCAGTTGCTTTAACAAGCTGTTTATCCAAAAGCTGTTTATTTGAGAAGTGCACATTCAAACATACTTACAATGTCTTCCAATCAAATCAAACGTTAATCAGTGCTCAATCCGGATTTAGACGCGGCGATTCTACATGGTATCAACTAACTGATTTGTATCAGTCGTTATCTAAAGCACTTGACGAGGTAAGAGAAATTAGAGCCGTGTTCTGTGATATCAGCAAGGCTTTTGGTGGTGGCATCAAGGCCTCCTGGACAAACTCTGGTCCTCGGGTATATCTGGAAAATTATGTAACTGGTTCAAAAGTTACCTAAGAACTAATTTGTGGTTATCAACGGTCATAAATCTACCCAGCGGCCGGTTTTCGCCGCTCTTAGCGGCAGATGACATTTAGCCCAGTGAAAACCGAAGCCATGCTATGCTATTTCCTAAAAGTCACTTTTCCAGCCCCACAGCCCTCTCAGAAATTGTTTACGGAGTCTAAAATATCGCCTCAAGAGCGAAACACTCTACATCCTGTATAAATCATTCATGCTTCATACATTTGATTACTGCGATCACATCTGGGATAACTGTACACACGAACAATCTAAACTAGTGGAAACTTTACATCTGGACGCCCTCCAAAGTATCTGTGGTGCGCTAAGAGGCACGAACCACGAACGTATATACAGAGAAACTGGACTCCTTTCTACCGTCTGTTATCCAAATTTGGAACTCCCTTGCTAGTACTACCCGAAACGCCCCAACACTTGCACAGTTTAAATGTATCATAAACAAGGATAGACCTCTGAGTCCAAATTTCCGAAAGTATGCTAACTTCGGATCACGCCATTGTCAGGTAATACTATGCAGACAACGTCTTGGTTGTAGCGATTTGAACTCTCACCTTGTTGATAGGCATTTACCTGAAAACCCCTCCTGTCCTTGTGGCCATTCCACAGAGGATCCACTACATTATGTTTTTGTCTGTCCTCGTTTTAATCACTGGATACAAAACATATATTTCTACGTTAAAGGATTTGATATCAAAACTATTCTATAAGCAGATACTGAGAGTAAAATAACCTAGTAACATCAGTCCACAATTATATTCAAGAAACAAATCGATTCACTAATATATAAAATCTAGCAACGATACTTGACTACTCTATTAAGACTGTACCGTTATCATCAGTTTAACTTCATGAAATTTCACAACATCAACAATGTGGATGCGCATTTTGTTTCCTTTAATTAATGTGTGACGTCTGTGTGTGTATATTCCGTATTATGTGGAGAGAAGCATTAACATAGGCAATTGTGCCTGTTTGCCAATCCCCCAAATCCTATTGTATGTAAATATATACATATACATGTCATCTGAGGAAATAAATATTGTTTAAATCAAAATTACCTTCGCTTTCAAACAAGTCTGGAAGACTTGTGTCTGTGGTCCGAGCTTGTAACAAATCAGCGAGATTTCCTTGTTGTTCAAGTATGGATTTACTTGGAAGACTGCACAAATTCTGTCAGTGGATCCAAAGTTCTAGCCAATAAAACAAAGCTTGCTTTGCCGGAAAGTATTAGTGACCGTGCATGTGTGACTGTGAACGCTTTCGACTGCATCGGAATGTGTGTACAAACTTGCAAAACTTGTTTGTCTTGCAAAACTAGTTTGATGTCATATACGTTGATATATTTATAACACGGGTTACTTTGACAGAAACTTGTCGATGCATATCAGCTCCTCTACAGCTACCAGTTCACTCGCTGGGCTTCAGATGCAAAGGTTGCAATTTCGATCAACGGAAATATACAAACAACACATAACTTGTCATTACATGCACTGGGTTTAAATGGAACATAAATCTCTAGCAAGAGACATTTACATGTGTTTACATGTTACCATATCACATGTTACAACCATTAATATATGTCTTTTTTAATAGTGCTGTTACTTTTTGTGGTTTTCCATAGTATTGGGCTAATAGTATAATTTCTCCTCTTCATGCCGTCCCGAATCTCTTCCGGAGATGGATCTGTCGGATGTAGCGGTCTTCGACAGATGTCGTGACTCTAGGTATCTCGATCTTGGGCGGTCTCAGGTCTGGCCTGTTTGCTCTTATCGGTTTATCAGTTTGCTGATGGTGGCCTGGCTGCAGTTGAAGGTTCTTGCTAGCTGACGTTGTGAAGCCCCCATATTGACCACGCCCCATGCGATAAGCCCCTATATCGCCCTGTCTCGTTGCGCTTGCGTAAGTCTTGGCATATTCGTGGTGGTGTTGTGGTCAGTAGATGTTTCAACATTATTACATTTTATGATACACTTTGGAAACATTTTATCGCCGCTTCATGGACGTCCTTTTCGCAGTTGCCAGATGAATATAAATACGGTAAAGTTCGACACTACTTTCCGCTTTCCGCATCCTCCAAGAATACTTGTACCCACATCGGTGAATGTTATGTGCGAAAATATACTAGTAGAATAAAGTAATTGGGCATTTTTTTATGTTACGCCAGAGACATTTTATTGCCGCTTCATGGAAGTCCTCGCCGCTGCCAGATAAGTATAGTAGGTAGAATTCGACACTACTTGCCGCTTTCCGCATCCTCCAAGAATACTTGTCCCCGCATCGGTGAATGTTATGTGCGAATATATACTAGTGGAATAAAGTAACTGGGCATTATTTGATGTTATGTCATTCTTAATGCAAAATGATATTAATAACATGACTTGTGGTGTTTTCCTTAATCACTGCTTAACTGCTGACAGGATAATATCAAAATCTTTACGATTTGACTCTAGACCTCGTGACACACCCTTGAAGAGATGAGGTGTCAAAAGTCAGTTAACAAATTCAGTATCGTGTGTGTCCACCATTTTCGTTGATGCAGACTTGACAACGACGGCACATAGGCGACATTAAGTGATTGAAGAAAGCTTGGGAAATGTTGTTCCATGTCTGAAGCAACGCTTGTCCCCGTTCAGCTAACGTCAATGGGTTTGAAATAAACATTCTGGGTTTGACATCGCTCCATTTCATCCCAAGCGTGCTCGATAGGGGACAGGTCCGGAGAAATAGCTGGCCTGGGGAATACAGGAATATTCTGCTGTCGCAGACTATTGTTTCAAATATTAGTCTATAGTTTGCCAGAAACACTGAAAAGTGACATGGCAGGTAATTTTATCTCCATTTTTTATAAAATGGGATAATGATAGCTACGTGTTTTTAAACAATATATTCACATATAACTAATCAACTTTAAAATTATACACTGTGCTCACATTCACTTGACTGGGAATATTTTAGTCTGACGTTAGTGGGGTCCGTCATATTTTCTGAGCGTATTCGTTTTAAGTTCCACCAGGGGTACACAGCTTGGTTACATGCAAGGTCAGACAACGGGTAGACACTGCATAATCACTAAATCACAATAGGACTCTATACATATTCTTCAGTTGGAAATATATTTTACAGCCATTTTTACAGCAAGTTTGGATATAAAGGTGAAATAAAATGTTACTTTTTGCGATCTGTAAACACCTATTAATTACGTTACAATATGTTTTCGTCCTCCTGCGAGGAGACGTAAGTCTACTTCAAAGTAGATTTCAGCTTACCAAAATTTATAAACGTAGCATTTGTGTGATTTTAATTTATGGCTTAACCTTCCTATAATCGCCGGCGGCAGAAGGGATGGTATAAATCCAACTTGGGCCCATTCGGGTAGCAAAGGTACTGCAAGTCCCCATGGTCCCTAGTATGGTGATCTACCTTCAGTTGTCGGTGATCTATAGCCCGTTTTTTATATTGTATTGTCCAAATTGAAATCCAGTTTTAGAGATAGATACTAGTTTTATTTATTGTGTCTGTGATATTCTAGTTGGTTTTACTGTCCTTCGTTGACAGGTTTATATAACTTACATGTATTTATGATGAATTCAAAACTTCTTTATAGTCACGATATGGCTGAAATATTGCCGATGTGACTTAAAATCTTAACTCACTCACTCGCTACAATATATTTTCAACAAATAATCATCATTACTATTGTTTACATGTTAACATCATTAAAAGTAACAGGTTTTGAGTGCTTCAGTAATGTTTATTGCTGCTGGAATTAAACAGAAAGGGAGTTATCGTTCTTGTTTGAAGTAGTATTCATGTACATACGTCAATATAAACTCCTTCCAGAGGCCGCCCGTGAAGTTCCGCATTACAACTGATCTTCAGTAACCCATGCTTGTCGTAAGAGGCGACTAACGGGATCGGGTGGTCAGGCTCGCTCACTTGGTTGACACATGTGAACGTATCCCAATTGCGTAGATCGATGCTAATGATGTTGATCACTGGATTGTCTGGTCCAGATTCAATTATTTACAAACCGGAGCCATATAGCTGGACTTCTCATACGGTTTAACATCAACACAGACCAAACGTGTTAAAGCATGATTTGAAGTCCGCACCATCTACACAATTACCAACTCTTGTATGCTACTGTTTCACATTACACTGATAATGTAACCATGCTGATTTTCCTTGCTGGAATTTGAACTGCGATGTGTGCATCTGGACAACAGCAACATCAAGGGCTTCCAAGTTAAAATACATCACTTCAAATGAGCACATCTCGGCAAAGAATAACCACTGAAACCTCTGTATGAAAGCAAAGTGATACAATATTCACAGAATTGTAATTTACGTAAATTGCGCGAGATTAATATTCTCAAATATTCTATGAGATTGATCATCTGATCTGATCTAAAGAACTAAAAAGGATCACACAACAGTCGCGATTTATCTTCGGGCTATTCAGCATTTCCTGCTAGCCAAGGGACGCAACTGTATGTGTTCATATATTGCCTTATCAAGTCGTTGTTCATGCTCCGCTGTTCATACAACTATACCAAAGTGGAATGCTGAATGCTTTTAGGTCTGAAATACACGTCTTTGGTCAGCATATGCGTGATGCAAGGAACTTGCTTCTTTTCGTTCATGGATGTGTCACTTCCATACGATGATTCATACCAGACTGCTACTCTCTGATTTACGAAGGTCAGCAGCGTTGTGAGAGACCAGCTCGTTGCATTGCACGGTGTTAGGACCTTGCGAAGGCTCTGTGTAAACCACGCGCCAGTGTCCCTGCGCCATGCATAGTAACCTGAAACGATACGTCAGACATCGTGAGTGAGTGAGTTTAGTTTTACGCCGCACTCAGCAATATTCCAGCTATATGGCGCGGTCTGTAAATAATCGAGTCTGGAACAGACAATCCAGTGATCAACAGCATGATCTGGGAACCGATGACATGTGTCAACCAAGTCAGCGAGCCTGACCACCCGATCCCTATGTCGCCTCTTACGAGGGTTACTGAAGACGAGGTGTAACCTGGATCTTCACTGGTCCATCCTTAAAGTGAGTAAGGTTGCATGCCGCTTGTTGTAAGTCGGGATACAATAAAGGTAATCAGAAAGAGGCATTAGACGTTGCTTCCATGTGGGGAATGAACCCGGGTCTTTTGCGTGACCAGCAAACGCTTTAACTATCCACTAGACTACCCGACAGGACATGTTATCAATATAAAAATGTGTGTGCGTGCGTGCGCGCGCGCCTGTTGTGCGAATGTATTTGGGCTTTTAAACAATCCAGTGATTGTTACTGTGAGCTACAGTGACGGTGGGGTAGCCCAGTGGTTAAAGCTTTCGCTCGTCACACCGACGACCCAATTCCCCACATGGGTACAATGTGTGGAGCCCCGATTCAGAAGCAGGTCGGTGGAGTAGTTTGGTCGACACAGAAAATGTTTGTGAACAATATTTTTCCTGACAATCCTACAAGATTAAAGACTACGTCACCCTCTTCTTGGGAATACATATTACAGCTTGTTGAGTTTGTGGCATTTCACATCATGGGGATTCTGTGTTAGAACTAGACCCCAGTAACCTATGCTTGTGGTTCGGTGGACCAAGTGGATCGGGTCGGTAGACTATGCGACATTATTAATGCGACTGGCATTGATCATGAATCATTATATGGCTTTTGTGTTACAGCGGTTTACAAGTAAGTTAAAGCATAATATTTTGCCTTTTTTTATTTCGTTTTGTTAAACGCCGCAATCAACACTTTTCCACCTAAGTCACGTCAAACTGTCACGAACAAACAAACCGGAATCAACGAGCCTTGTATCCGATCCAACCTAGCCCCATCTGAAGGACGTGTTTTAACCAGATTTTCATATCATAACCTCACCCCCTCTCTCTCTCTCTCTTCCTCTGTGTATGAATAGATGAATGTATGATAGATTAAACATAACTATACCCAAACCTCCATAGCTGCAATAACAACAGAACACCACGTAATACACATACACAATAACACTGTATAGTAACACTGCGTTAGTGTCATGTATATTCATTGATTCACATTTCTACCATATACCGTCCTGCATGACTAAACACTTCTCAACTTAATACCCATTCTTCACAACCCGAATCTAAAAAAAGGAACCTTTTCTGCAATAATTCATTTGCCACGATTGGCGATAATGACGCATATCAACGATCGTAATTACGAGTAGTATACCCGATGGTGATACAGCCGCACTACAGCCTGTGGCATTTTTCATGGCCAAAATATGCCCCATCGATGGTCGAAACATAGAGAAAACGTCGTCGACCATCGTTCGATGTTTCCCATATTTTTATACATTAAAATGTGGTACTTATGGATAGACGACATCGGGTTGATGGCGCGTTGTTGTCGAATATCTCCATTTTGGACGCATTTTCTTTTCCATCAATCGTAAAACGAAACCATAAAGATTTGATGATACGGTTTCTGCTGCTTGTGTATATCTGAAATTAACAGGTAAATGATAGAATAAGTATTTAGAAAGTCTAAAAGTATCCCCCACTCTTTTTCAGCGGGATCCATCCGATGAAACCCATTTAACAAGTTTGTCAACAATGTGTTCGTCTATCAACCCAATTTGTATGTTTTCCAACTCAAGGAGTTGAATTATAATATTCCCCATGTAGTATGCCGTTGCTATGCACATAGATACACGTTAGTCTAATTGTGAAATATCGAGGAAACAATGCCGCGATATATGATGAGATCCACACTAATTTCGGCAGATTGAATCGTGTGAGAGGTAACAAATCGATCAGTCGATATACGTTAAGTAAAACCACCGAAAATGTTGTACAATGTATGGAAATAGGCAGAGTCGCTCTTAACGCCAGCTGTGGTGTTATGACTGTTTGCACAAGGTGTTAGCTCATATTGATGTTTACAATACAGTTTATGTGCAGGGATTGCCTAAAACCATGCCTACCGGGAATTCTCTATTCCAGTGATGAACTATTTTAACCATATTTAAGCCCAGAGCTTAAATTAGAAAATGCACAGTATTTTGATAAAAAGGAAAAGAACCATGATTTTTTAAACTCTTAATCAGGAAACTGGTCTATAAATTCAAAATTTAAAGTTATGAAAATGTGTACTCGAGTGAGTAAATGTGAACGTGAATGATAAAGTTGACAGTCTTTAATGCAAAACACGAACTTCAACCTATTATGAGAGGACTGACGGATATCTAAGACAATGACTAGTCTCTACAAGACATGAAATTCAAACTAATAGTCTGAGTTGAGTTTAGTTGGGCTTTACGTCACATCGGCATTATTCCAGCCATATAGTGACGAGATCAAGTCTGAATTCATGAACATTTTAACTTTTAACTTTAACTGACTTTTAACTTTAACTGACTGATCTGGCAGTGACACTATTCAGAGTCAAAGTCTCCGCGTTTGGAAAGGGACGTCACTCTAAACACCCAAGAATTAAATCCAAATTTAAGCCCATGGCCTTAAATACGGGAAAAAATCTCGTATTTTAGCGAATGGGCTAAATTTCGCGTGGGCCTAAATACGGGAATTCCCGGTACAATTACTTAATGCAACATACACTCATGACAATATTGAACTGAATCTGAAAGCCACAAACGTGCACCACAATAAAACTTATTGTGACTAATCGCTTAATACTCAGGCCGACGAGTGCACTGTAATCTGGACTCCTCCGCCAGAACCAATGACGTATTGTCAGAATATGTAGGTCGTATGGCGGGAGCACTTGGTCCTATCCTGGCTGTGTTGGGGTAGATACAACGATTTCCTAGAATGGTCTTAGCTGTGGTGATTACAGTTTGGGACCTTCAGCCGTGATGTATCACCCGTACCCATCTTTCCTGGCAGTGTCTTGGCGTTGTGACGTGTGGACCTACTGAATGTTAGCGATCGAAAACTTCATTGTTAGGTTAGGTTACACACGACTATAACTTCAAAAACCGACATTTATACTAAAACTTACTAAAATTACTAAAACATTACTAAAATTTACTAAAAATTACTAAAACATTCCTAAAATTTACTAAAAATTACTAAACTATTACTTGGTAATCCACGGGTGGGTTGGTTTTCAACACGAGCTTGGCATGCTTAGTTTTGGCGAGCTGTTTCTTAACCCGTTCCCGGTCTAGTTTACTCATCACATCGTTCTCTCTCAAGCATTCCTCGAACGAATTCCTGCCCTTGCAGTGAAATGGAGCTACCCATCGCGTCTGTTCACGTAAATCCTTTAACACAGAGTTGAATTTTTGTGTCAGCACCCAGACGCTATGTTCTGCGTGTCGACCTGAAAACGCTAGGTAGAACAGCATATCTCTCTTTTTCCTTATCTCTCTATTAGCGCTGCAGTCATCCAGGATGAATAGCGTCGGCTTCCCTTTAAATTTGTTGTGATAAACTTTCAAATAGTCCTGCAGGTGTGTTTCCGGGTCGATTTTATATACATCGGGATCCGTCATCACCCAAGATCTATCCGTGTAAGTTTTGTTCATATTTATAGTAGGACATAAGATAATGATATTGTCAAATACGTCTTTATAGTACCCCTCCAACAAATCCAGTACGAAAACTGTCTTGCCACAACCCGTCTGCCCACATATTATGGCGCAGTGCGGATCTCCTGGTCAATTAATAGATGGCTTGCACAAACCTCCCATTCTCTATATTAAGTTGCGCGTCCATAATTACATATAAATATAATTTTAATTTACCAGTTGGTTGAGCCTTCTTCATTATTTGAATGGTTATACCCTCGCTTCCGTTGTCAATGCGACGACCACTACCTTGTAGAGTGTCATCATCTGTCGATCTCATATCCAACTATAATGCGTACTTTGTGGTTAGGTAATCCCCGATATGCACGGAGGATAGATCCAGGTCACTGACTACGTTATTGACTATTGAGTTTCGTTTGATAGCCGGTAGCTTCATTATTTCATCCCACTGCTGATATGCCTTCATTCCATGGTTAAATAGCTGATTAGGCACTCCCTCTATGGTCACTTCCACTTTGGTGATCCCTGGGTTGAAAAATTTCTCGCTGTCTCTTTCGAATGGATCGTATTCCTCCACGGGTATGATTAATATACCTTTCATCGATCGCGCCGGCACGTTCATGTTGATATTCCATACCGTGTCGCTCTTGTCATGTAATATCATTCTATGTTGCAGTACCCTACCGTACAGGATGTTCATTTTCCCAGAGTACTGATTTCGAATCTGCCGGGCGAGATCACCATGTCGAACTCCAACGAGATGTTATCGATCTCGTAACTACCCTCTTCACCGTTCGGCGTATACGCGACTTTGCTGTAATCATTGAACGTGAGTTCATATTCCAACCTGTCACCTAATGCGGCTTGGTAAAATGGTGCGTGCCCCGTTAACAACTCAAAGTCTAGCGGGATACAGAACCTGTTTCCATACGCTTCGGCGATGGCTTTTTCACCATTAGATAGTCCACCTGACGCATTTTCGTCTTGTGGGAAGGTGTATCCGACACGTAACCTATTCGAATTACCAATTCCCTGGTACACGTCGTTGGCGCGTTCTCGCTCACTTTTCCATAGGTCTATGTAACAGTAATATACATCACTGTCGTCGATGCTAAGCACCTCGTTACCACTAATTTTTATGGAGGTCCTCTTGACTATAGCACGGCCCACATTATTCACTAGCTCACATTTGTCGTCTGATTTCAACGTGATGTTAAATGCCAATCGTACCGTACCTGGTACTATGACGTCGTTCT